AATGTTCTCTTTTTTTTGTCGTTGGTTTTCTGTACTGAACTCTACTTTTGTATTGATGAATAACTTCCGGAGTTTTCATGTTAGTGGGTGTTACATATTGGAGGCGCTCTAGTTAGAAATGGTTCTACGTGCTTGGCAGCTGATGTAAAAATTTGTTTAGTTTTTCTGACCAGTCGTTTTTGTTTTCTTATATTGCTATCAGTTTAGCTGATTCTTATGGCAATATTAGTGTAAGGAAGATAACCAGTTCCCTTAGGATTTCGTATAGGTGCCTACGGTTGAAAATATCAGTAGCCTTTATTGTTGTGTTTGACAAGGTTTTTAAATTTCGCGTACGTGATTTTTTCGTGCTGAAGTTTTCTTAGTGAACTTAGTAAAACTATGAGAAAAAAAAATTTAATGCTATATTCTTTTATTCTTTTCACTGCTTTAAATTGTTTTAGGGAAGCAGTACAGTTTCTGTTGCGACATCAACTGGTAGTCAGTCTTCGCCGCAGTCACAATTGGTATCGCCTGCGCTTTCTGTAGGTAGTTCATCTACACATTCGTTCAAGCAGAAAAAGGTTTCAACGACCTACGACCCGAGCGACGAACGAGCAGTTCCACCGCTTTTATCGCCGGGATCTTTAGTTAATACGGATATGACCAATACTGCTTGCATTACCGTCATAGGTAATTTTTAAGCGGATTTCAACGAGTGTCTGGCAAAAGAACCAGAATTTGAGCTGAACCTTTTGTCATAGGCTACTAACGTCTTCATTATATTTTAAGGGGGTAATTGTTCAACCTCGTCTTCAGCAGCACGTTCATACGCCGAAATTGCGAAAAGTAAATCACCTGTAATGGCCTCTTCTTGTGCAAGTGATGCTCCTTCACATTCATCTGCTCGTGACACTTCTCCAGAGCTTTGCACCGCATCGACGAGCACTAATAACGATGATCGGTGCACGAGTGTTACTTCGTCAGCTGGCGGTATACGAAAATTCTTCTGTTACTTCTATCAGACATTTACTCTCCCTTGCAACTTTTTGTTGAAGAACGTGTTGAACGCTTCTTTCTTTACAGGTTCTGTCGAGATAATTGACAAAGATGGATCTGGTAATAATGGCGGTGGAAATAAAGTTGATGGTGAATCAGCGAAAAGCTCCGCAGTCGATGGCTTTTCTTTCTTTTATGATCCAAATGAACCAACCTCGATTTGTGATGCTCCGTCTTTAACTGCAGAAGGGAACGAAGCTAGTTGTGAATTCTGTATGTCTTCTACCCTATGCAGTAATCGTCTATTTTTTGTCCCTACATACGGTAACTGTAAAACGTTCTTAAATTACCATTTGATCTTTCAGAGTCTTCGGAACAGTTTAGTTGTAACGAAGATTCGTTTTTACATTGTCATCGTTTTTTGCTATTCAGAAAATAAGCTTATCACGTAGTACGTTTATGTGCTAACGGTTTATCTTGTTACATCATCTATTTAAGAGGGACCTTTTTATGTTTAGTTTCGCCAAGCACTCCTACTGCCGTTAAGGTAGGTGAGGCCCCAGCAAAGTCGGTCATTTTGGAAAACAAACCGGAAAGAAATGGGGAAAAATCTGCTAAATTTGGGACGCAGGAAAAAAATTCAGAAAAGATCACTTTCAAGTATGATTCGGCTGAAAGCAAACCAAAGGTATTTGGTTTGAATAAGTTTTTTGTTTACCATGAACAAATTTGTTTAAGCTTTTGCCAAAAGTCAGTATTAACGTTGAAATTTTGCTTTTAAACGGTTGGTTTCTGCTAAATATTTGCCACTGTTTAGTTGCTCAGTTGTAACATAGTGAACTTACAGAGGAAATGATTTTTAGGAAGTAGCCTCAAGCATTGTCTTGAAGTTTGAAGGTGGGAGGACACTTGTTCTACCTTCGATGAATGTTGGTGGCTCGTTTGAAGTCGACAGAAAGAAGAAGGAGATGATGAATAGTGCATGGAAAAGCTTCATGGAGAATGGTCCAGGTGATTCCTGTTTCTAAATTTTTCTTCTGTAACCTTTGCTTCGTTATCTCAATAGCGTTTCATTTTTAGCTCCTATTCGGTATACTCCAGGAGTTCTTCAAGGTGTTAGCGTTTTAAGTGATGGTGATCATTAGAGGAGCATGTTGCATATCCCTCGCCAAATTGATCTTTTTCGTCGGATGGATACAGCAGATTTGGCTTGTCGAAACCGAAAGAATTCTTTTTGTGTATAGTTATGGTATCATGCAAAAACGTGTCCTTTTTTTCCTGAGTTTATTATGTGTTTGTTTTTTCTTATTCTTGGTTTCTAGAATGCGGTATGGTTTTGGAATCTCAGGGTTTAGCGTAAGCTGCTTTGTTAGGTCTGGGTTAAAGAACGTGATGCCAGGTTTCTGTAATTGCAAATTACATATTTATCATTTGCCTTTATTGCTTTTACTTCCTTACCTTTTTTTTTCTTTTTTTTTGGCGAAGGAGGTTGCTGGCAGCACGTCTTTTTACTGTGAATTGTTGGAGAATTTATGGTCTTGTTAAACACGAGATTTTAGAGAAGGAAAATTGTTTTTTATGCATTTTAGCCAGGAAGTCTGATTCATAAGTGTAGCAGCTTAGCTGCCTTCTTTGCCATTTTTAATTGAGAATGGACAATTCAAAAATGTGTTAGTCATCCTTGGCTCTTGCCGTCGAAAGTTTAGAAATAAAAAAGATTTTTTGCTTTGTTGTTCATTATCGTTTCCTTAGTCATTGTTATTTTTGGCGTTTCTCAAGTTTTTCTTGCAATTTTCTACTGAGAGGTCTTTGCTGGTGTTGCTTCTTGTCTAACTTTTGAGAGTTATCAGCAATTTACGTGCTTTTTTTTTGGTGATTTCTTTTTGCTGTAAGGAAGTGCGTTTACTGATGCTTTAGTTTTTTTTTGTTTTTGTTTTTATTTTTTGTTTTTGTTTTTCTGTCGTTTTTTACCTTTTTATTTTTGCTTTTATTGATTTGCGGCTTTTTTTTGTTGATAAAAATAAAAAAAAATTCTAAAAAAAATTGCATATAAAATTTTAAAATTGTTTATAAAAATGGAAGAAATCTATGCATAGAGCTTTGTCATTTTCGTTCTTATCTTTTCTGCTTCTATTTGATAGAATTTTGTTGCCAGCCTGAAATTACGTGTAAGGTTTTTCATTTTATGTTCATGTAAATTTTGTTGTCTCCCACCCAAATAATCTTGGGCAATTTTGTGTGAACGTGAGAGTCCAAAGTTAGGTTTTTTTTGGAACGGGGGCGTTAGAAATTTCATGAGCATGTGATACTGAGTAGTGATTACTCATCATCTCTTTCATCTGGGATGCAAGTACAGAATCGAGTAGGCTTTCCTTTTTTGACTCGGTCACTGGAAGCCACGAGAAGTTGCAATTTTATCAGGTGGACGATCACAGTCAGCATGTCAATTTCATGATTCTTAACTGATTCTTTTAAATTTTATTTTTTGCACCGAGAATTTGAGCGGTTTATTTGCACTGCTTTTTTTTGTACTCGATTTTTTGTTTTCATCACTAAGGCCATGAAGTGGTCCTATTTGCACTCTTTGTTTTCTTTTTTCGCTCTTCTCTATTACTTTTGTTTTTATTTTTTTGTACATGTTTTGTCTACTACAATTCGGGTAGTAAGACACCAGGAAGGAAAAAGTGGGTGAGTTTGGGAGGTAAGTGGGGGTTCGGTTTTAGTTTTTTGTTAAACAATTTGAAGAACATTGGCTTGTAGACAGTGAACACTTTCCGTGGCAGCTTTGAGCTGTTTTCAAGCTTTTAGAAACTTATAGTTTCATCAGTGCACAGTTTTTAAATTTACTCGATAACACTGTTTTATTTATTTATTTTTTTTTTCGTTGATCTACGGTTGTAGGATTCAAGTGGATGAGGAGTTTCATTATCCATTTTCGCTTTTGTAGCGACGACTTATTGCATTTCTGAAATTAAGCTTGTTTCAGTGTGCAATCGGTTGTCAAAAGGCGTCTAATTTATTCTTCCCAGATGAGATGGTTTATAGGGCACGTTGATGATGTAGCGCATTTGTAACAGGGAGGGAGCCAGTTGAAGTTTATCTTTTTCATCTGGTAATTAGTTTCCTGGTCTGGGTATTGGATTTTTTTCTGCTTTTTTGATGCAGGTTACCATTTTTTGTTGAGTTGTAGAGAGGTGTTTCCTCATTTTCTTTCCCTAGTTCTCTTATTTTGCGTTTTCGGTACGTACGTTGGTGTTACTTCATTGAGAGCCTTGTTTTTGCTGTTGATGCTCTTGGATGGGGAATTCGTTGTTTTGATGGCATTTTTTAGAAGGCCAGGTGCTGTTAAGTGTTTTAATGAACAAATTTTTCAAATTTATTTTGAACATATCTGCCAATTCGGGTTAGTGAACCACGAATTTATTGGCGTGGGGATTTACAGTAGGAAAGGTTCAGGTTGAAATTCTTTTTTTTTTTTTTTTTTTTTTTTTTTTTTTTTT